TTTTTATCATTTATAAAAAAAAAAGTAAACCAATTCCTTTTAGAAGCAAAGCTGATGAAATAGGAACTGAAATTGTCAATTCTACCCAGTTTAACAAATGAGGCCAAAATTTTGATTTTATCATTTCTTATAAATATAATCAATAATGATAAAAATTAAAAAAATCATGTGTATGTCACATCTCCAATTATTAATTTAAAAACCGAAACTAAACCGAAATTGAACTGAAAATTTTCGAATTGGTTTTTTAAAAACCGAAACCAAACCAAACCAAAACCGAACCATTCGGAGCTTTACTCTTGGTGAGCATCATATTTTAAGGGTTTCAAATTACTATCTTCTTCTAGACCAGCTAGAAAATTTCTATGTACTGATTTATAACTCATTTCAGCTGGTAAAAATGTAACTGATTGAGTTATTCTATTGTTACTTCTTCCTGGACTTGGTAATCCATGGACTTCTGCATAATTTTCAAGGAAGTTTTTTACTACTTCAGCAATATTTTTAACAATTACATTTTGGTTTTTTATTGAGGCATCTTCTTTATATTGCCATGAACTCTTGATATAAGTCCATTGTTTATTAGATGATTTCTGATATTTTCAAAATAAGTTCTGCCAATCCCCAACATATTGAGATAAGTTTCTTGAGAAAGTTTGTTGTGATCCCAGTGATAGAAAGTTCTTTTATTAATCTGGTTTTCTTCTTAAGGCGTCTGCTGGTGCTTATAGATCCGCCATCCATTGCTTTAAGTTAGGCCATCAAAAATATGTCTTGTTCAGACTTGAAAAGATTCTCTTAATTCTGAAAATTCTTCCTTGGGAATTCTTGAAGAACAACCACAATTACAACCTTTTTCTAAAAATAAATTGCCTTTTGATATTCATTAGAACCATTATGTTTATTACTTTTCATATATATACACTTATCCCTATATATATAATTTTATGTTCACTTTGTAAGGTTTTTTTAAAAATTATTTGTTAAAAAAAGTAGTTATAAAATTAGCTGGAAGTTAAAAGTTCTAAGAAATATGGTTTAGTACAAACTAAACAAACAAACTATTAGAAATCCATTAATAAAATCATGGTAAGATATTAAACAAATATAACATTCTTCAATTGAAAATATTTTTTATTTTAAAGTACATTATAAGAATATCTAATTGGAAGATTAGCATGCAATATGATATAAAATTTAATTTGATATTCATGATTTAGTTTATAATTTTTGTGAACAGGTCAAGCATCAATACAATCAATCCTATTATTACAACACTCTTTATTATGAATTAATTCTATATTTTATCATTTGTGTAGCTTGTATCAAATTATAATAAAATAAACAAATTATGGTTATGCTAAAACAATGTGAATATAAAAATATAGTATAAATAATTTATTACTCCATCTTGTATACCAATGGTACCATATGTTTAATTATCTTCATTTTTTTTGGACATTCTCCCAGTGTAGGATCAACCCAAGCAGTCAATAATTGCTTAAAGCTACTTGTGAGATCTAATGATGAGGTTGTGGGATTTGATGTAAACTGTTTCAAACAACTATAGATATTTGAAGATAATCCAAATAATGCAAGTGGCATCTGAAAATGTTCACAGAATGCTGTGATTTCAGCATTTGAGACATCATTATTGTCATCAATTCTAATCTTCTTAATAAAATTTTCTCTTGCTTCATCATCATCTGTTTGATAATCTTTCAAAACTTCTTCAATTTTTTGCTTGCACAAACCAATTTGACATGTTTGAGGTGATTCAAAAAATTCTGTTGGAACATCAATAAACTCTTTTGTTGCACCTAATTGCAAATACAATGACAAAAATGGCATATGTGGAAGTTCCTCAATGCTTATATATGCTGGTTAAAGACTAGTGCCATAAATTATGATGATGGTAGTAATTGTATTTACGGCATATAAAAAGTGGTTGCAATTACCTTTGTGTCCGCTTTTGCAACCATACTTTTTCCTTTTTTGGATTACAGCACTAGTCTTTAATGCTGGTGACAGTGAAGCTGTTGCAGAGAGTGGATAGTCATAACCTTTATTATCTGTAGACCAATTTTTAACTTGTATTAGTACATATGGAATATGATCTTTGCTAAGCTTTTCATCAAGAGTGCCTATATATATAGGTATAATGATATCTACTCCCTGTTGATTTCATTTACATGAAAATGCAGTATATACCACGGATCAGAGCATCACTGAGACTTTTCCTCTCTGGTGTATATGTAATATTGATAATGTGTGTAAACTTAATGTATGCTTCACCAAACTTTGTTCCGGTAAACTTTACTTGTTCTTCAAGGTGATTCTCTATTCTTCTATAAACATCAACTGTAAGTAGTGATTTTAAAAATTCATTCCTAGTTTTATCTTTGATTAATAATGATGTTTGAATTTGTTATAAAAATAATGAGATATTTTAAAAACCTGATTTGTTACACGAGTCGGATTTTCTATTTTATATATGTAATTACACCTCCTGTGACATACACTCCCCTAAAAAAAGTATCGACTCACTTGATGATCCGTGAAAATAATCGGGTAAACGGGTAATACATATACT